ATTAAACTCCGTTTAATACGTTCCTATTGAGGAAAAACTCACCCGTAAGTGAAGATTCCCCCCTCCGGCCACCATTTTTGCTGCCCGGTAAGCGGGGGCAGGGTGCGAAAATGCTGCGGGCAGCCATTTTCTGCACCCAGCAGCCATTTTGGAACCGCCAATCAACTGTTTTCTAAACATCGCAATGCGAAGATCGGTAAGCGAAACGCTTACCGATCATCGCAATGCGATGTTTAGCCTATCTAAACATCGCAATGCGATCGCATTAGCAATCGCAAAAAATCCGTCGCTATGCGGATTCGTTGTTAAATGGTGCGCTCGTTAACCGAGGCACCACTGTAGTACTTTTTCCCATCTAGGTAAAGGTTCCCCTTGACAATGTTTGTCCAATCGTGTTCGACACTAGGGGGCGGTGCTCATCCCCATTTCCAAGCGATAGAGCCAGCATTTTGTCCGAAGACAATCTTCCATGGCTACAGGGCCAGTGTGACTTAGACACGGAATGCTGTTATCTTCCCACCAAGGTGGTCCCTATTTATCTACTTGCATCTGCATGCTTTCGAACCGCTAGGTTGGCGGAAGCTGGGACAAGCGACGGGCACTAACTCCATCACGTGGATTTGATCTTAGGACTGCTGGTCTTCTGACCCTGCAGCACAGGCTTCTGCAGTTTAGCCCGCAGCGCCACCACGTCCCTTTTCCCATCTGGGCTAGCCTTAATCCAGTAGTGGCTACCCATTTCCACATTTTGTGGATGCAAATTCCACAATTCCATTTTTTATGGCAACAAGTTAATTGGGTACTGTACGAAGCAGCACTTTGTTGCGACAATTCTGACCAGCACTGTACAGAAACCATATCGCATCCATTTTTTATTTTGCCCTACAAGGATACAGTCATGATCCTAGAAGCCGCCTTAAAGCAAGTTTCTATCTCTGCCCCACTGCACTCCCCCACTATTCCCATATTCCCTCTCTCTCTCATACACATCATTATACCATAGAACAAGGCAGAATGAGGAATGTCCAACCCTCCAGATGTTGTTGAACTCTTAATTTCTGCTGATCCCAGCCAGCCTGACCAAACGCGGCTCATGCAAGAGATTACATGAGCTGCAGTTCATTAACATTTGGAGAGCCAAAGGCTTCCCATCCATTCTGTAGAAAAATTGAAATAAAAATAGAAGTAAATGGGACATAAAAATCCATATGCGTTTGCCCTGCCATGACAATAAGCTGCGTAGCAAAACACAGCAATGATGAGTGCTGTGATTTAACTCCATTGCCAGGTCCCTCACTGCTATCAAGTGTTAATCGGCATTCCATGCCCATTGAGCCTGCTTACTCCATACCGGACTAGGTCTGGATTATTCCCCTTACAATGTTTTTCTTGTGGGGTAAAAAAACTTCTGCACAACATAGGGTTTCCCAAACATAGCAGCATCACTTTCTTACACACGGATGATCACACTTTGACTACATACGGATCAACACTCTAGATTTAATTTGCTATTAGAATACAGTGGTGCCTTGCATAACGAGCGCACCATTTAACGACGAATTCGCATAGCAACACGTTTTTTGCGATCGCTAATGCGATCGCATTGCGATGATCTAAATGGCCGAAAATCACACTGCGATGATCGGTAAGCGTTTCGCTTACCGATCTTCGCATTGCGATGTTTTTTTAAACAGATGATAGCGGTTCCAAAATGGCTGCCGGGTGCATAAAATGGCCACCCACAGCGTTTTCGCGTGCTGCCCTCGCTTACCGAGGCGGTGAAAATGGCAGCGCTATGGAGGAAAAACTCAACCGTGAGTTTTTCCCCCATAGGAACGCATTAAACCGAGTTTAAAGCGTTCCTATGGGGTTTTTCTTTCCGTTTAGCGACGATTCCAGATAGCGACGTTAATCCTGGAACGGATTAACATCGCTATGCGGGGCACCACTGTATGTATATTTGCATTATGAGTAACAGAGGATCATTATCAAGAATCACCGCACATAAACTGAATCAAGAAACACAAAACTGTGGCACCTGGTGGAATACAGTGGTTATTGAACTAAGTCTGATACTGCTCTTAGTATTGTTCAATATTTACCATAGGAGCCTGGTGCTCTTTCCTCATAGGTAAAATGAAGTTGCAGCTCCTCTTCTGACATCTGACAGATCAACACTTTGAGTAGGCAGCAAATAATAAACAGTGCATTGTGAGCTTGCCAGATAAAGAGGTGGCTAGAAGAGAAACAGAAGTTTCAGTGACACGTACACCTGTCGAACAATGGGAAAGAACTGGACTTAGATGTACATTAGAGCAAACCTACAAGTGCTCCTGGAGATGGCCAGGGGAATGAAACATCCTGTGTGGACCCAAAGGAATGCAAGCAAAATTAAAAAGCAAAGGCTGTTTATTTTTTTCCCCAAAAACGATATACTTGAATTTGCATAGAGAATGTGTGAAGCTAGAAATTTTGTGATTTTTTTTAGTAGTTCAGTAAAAACATCACTTGTATTTGAATTTACATGATCACTAAGAACCATCATTTTATTAAGGAATCCTGCATACTCAGCCTCAAGTTCTCTTTCTATGTCAGCTGAAAGCTTTTTTGGTTAACGTCACTAAGGACATCCATTCCTTTCCCCTCAAAAGATGAAGGTACATCTAAAAAGCAATCTCTGCAACTATTAACTTATATGCATGCCAAAATAAAGCACTATTTTGCAACCAAAAAGAATCTATACTGGGGGTGGGGGGATGGGGGAAGAGGACCGCTACATTTTCTATCCTATCCGAAAGCAATGTATTCTAGAGATAATGCTCTGGATTTAAATCAAATTGAGGTTTAACTGCAAAGCTTCATCAAGCTGGTTTGTAAATACTCCTAAATGTAATCACTTAAGCTGAAAAACAAATGTTTATTTTACAAACCAGACAGCTGGTAGTACAACATTAGGAGCAATAGTTACATTTTAACTGAAAAAACATGCATAAAATAATTGCTAAAGCACGATCTTAAACAATTCTAAGTTCTAAGGAATTTTGAGTCACAGGTTGCAAAAACAGGAAAAAAAAGGACTAGGGCACTTTTTAAAAAAATACTGTCTCCCCTTTCCACCCTCAGCAAATAAATGGGACAGCACTGCCATGCATTAAGAGATTAATACGAACTTACATAAGCAAATATTTGTTGTGTAACTGAGTACAAGCCGCAAGGCCTGTTAAGACAACACTAATTTTCGGCATTATTATACCCCATCCCTAGAATTTTGAAACATTCACGATGTTTTATTGAATGTAAGATATAAGGTTGCACTCATTTATGAAGCAGGATGGCTTGCTGACACCTTCTTGGGCTCTGACGGCAGACTGAACCAGACAGGCACCAATAAAAACAAAAAAGGAGCATCATAGGCCACGTACACAAGACAAGACGACCACCTGACCTTTTCAACTAGTGATGTCACCTGATGGGATACAGATCTGTTAGTATGAATTGCTGATCGTAATTAACAGAAAGCAAAATTCAGAATCAACATGTCTGAGCCGGGGCTCGCTAGGGTCTGTCCACCTGGCATATTTATATGATATACACCTCACTGAGGACACTGCTTGGCTCGGGGGGGGGGAAGCCCACATCCACTGGTGTTTCTACTTAGATCAAGCCATCCTTCTCCTTTATAAACTGTCCCACACTTTTCTGGGCCAGTGGCAGGGCACGCATTCTTTTTGGTGCACAGACCATCAGGGGAAGGGCCCTCTGCTCCTTGATTGGCTCCAGGCGCCCCTGCCATCCCCGAGGGGCTACCTGCTGGAGGCATGCTTCAACTGGGTGAGAGATGATGGAGAGACTGCCAGTGACCTTGAGCCAGCAGCGATGAGGGACTGCTCCCTCGGCCCTTCTCCTGTGCGTCTCACGGCTTTGCTCCCTGCACTCTGCCTTCCTGCTCGCCTTCCCTTTTTCTCTTCGTTTTCTCTTTCATCCTTTCTTTCCCAAATCCTCCCATCTTTTTAATTTACTCTCCCGTCCATCCCTCCTCCTTCTCTCCCAGTAGTAGAACCTGCTGTTTCAATACTCTTTGTCTTCTCTGGGCCGTATTCCCCTCCTCTTCGCATTTATCAAATGCCATTTCCTTCTCTCTCTGAACAGCTTCCTCTTTACTCTCCCCTTTTGCTTCTTTCTTATCCTAGACCTTTTTTCTCCCCATCCCTCCCTTTCTATCTTTTCTTTTACTTCCCTCTCCTTATTTGTACCTTGACAGTTGATTGGCTACAAGGGGTCATTTGCTATGGAGATGGAAGAAGCATGCCCAAAGGCACATTGCTCACCCCCACCTTGCCAGAATCTTTGTAGCCCACTTTTTTCTCCCCATCCCTCCCTTTCTATCTTTTCTTTTCTTTTCCCCTCCTTATTTGTACCTTGACAGTTGACTGGCTACAACGGGTCATTTGCTATGGAGACAGGAGAAGCACGCCCAAAGGCAGATCGCTCACCCCCACCTCGCCAGAATCTTTGTAGCCCGAATCCACCCCCAAAACCCAAAATGGCCAGTATGGACAGAGTCTAACCCATCCCTCCCTTTCTATCTTTTCTTTTCTTTTCCCCTCCTTATTTGTACCTTGACAGTTGACTGGCTACAACGGGTCATTTGCTATGGAGACAGGAGAAGCACGCCCAAAGGCAGATCGCTCACCCCCACCTCGCCAGAATCTTTGTAGCCCGAATCCACCCCCAAAACCCAAAATGGCCAGTATGGACAGAGTCTAAGGTTAGGGCAGATACAAACAGCTCCCAGGCATTTGCCAGCACGCAGTTTCAGAGATTTACCAGAAATGTTTAAAACCAGAGTTACAGTTGGCTATGCACCTTGCAGCCATAGTGGCAACAGATAATATTTTCTTAGACCAAAACAGTCAGCAAAGCTGACTTGCTAACACCGTTTACTTACTTTTGACATTCTGCTGAAATTTTTAACTCTTTGGTTCTTGAAAGGAAGACTTTAATTAATGCTGCAAGGTTCCCTGTCCGCGGATTGTTCTCCACTAGGAGGAAGAAAGGAATACACATGATTTCAGATGCCGCACAATCTCGTCTATAAAAACTAGGATCATAAGAACACCTACAAACAAATAAGCCCATTTCAAAAAAAAACCTGTAGAAATGGGCACGAACTACGGGTTCAGCAATTTGGCCTGGCGCTGGCACAGGTGTTCTGCAGGTACCACGTGCTTCCCTCCTCCGTGTGTTCATCCGCAAGGAATACACATGATTTCAGATGCCGCACAATCTCGTCTATAAAAACTAGGATCATAAGAACACCTACAAACAAATAAGCCCATTTCAAAAAAAAACCTGTAGAAATGGGCACGAACTACGGGTTCAGCAATTTGGCCTGGCGCTGGCACAGGTGTTCTGCAGGTACCATGTGCTTCCCTCCTCCGTGTGTTCATCCGGTCACTAGTAGCAGCATGATTCCTCCCACACTTCCTCCGCGCAATGGCCGCTCACTGGCAGCAGGACGGGCTTCCCTCCTCTGACAACCGCCCACTCAGATGAGGAGGCAGGGTAGGAAAGCCTGCGCCACTGGCCATGAGTGGACAATCGCATGGAGGAGGCAGAGGAGAGAAGCACGCTGCTGGTGGTTAGTGGGCGATCATGTCGAGGAGGCAGGAGTGGGAAGAGGGCCACCTGTGGACAGGCGTTCCACTGAACTGGGCTGAACCACCAAACAGCGGTTCATGCCCTTCTCTACTTCCTATCATAAGAGCTTGGAACAGCCTTGCAAAAAGAATAAAAGTCAGTTCAGGTAACGTTGCTACCCACCCCTACACACCACATGGTGAAAATCTGACCTTGGATGCGATATCTTGTGCATTTTTTCAGGCTTTTGGTGACTGCCAATGGTGCAGAAATGAAACTGCATAGCATAAAGATGCCACAATAAAGCCAGATTACCTGTTCTAAGTGAGGTCACGGAATTCAACATGAATTTGTCACTCAGGGCAATAACCTTGTGTGCCAACTAAAACATCCAATTCTCCCCTCTCAGATGGCTTTAACAAAGGATTAGGCAAAATTAATGGAAGGTAAGTCTATCAGCAGTTACTTGTTCTGCCGGCTGAACAAAGCCTATATTCCAGGACGATACGAGATATATGTGGAGCCTTATAGCAGAGCACTGCAGCATGGCCAGAGTAGGAGAGATACGTGGAGCCTTATAGCTGGGCAGAGCAGGAATACCAAAATTAATAATGAACATTAAAATAAACTATTTGTTTCAGAGGTGGTACATCTTAGTCTGAATCCATAAAATGGTTATTACATTCAAATTGAAATTCAAATTTATTACTTTGAAGAGGCAAGTAACCCAGATTCCAGATATATTTCATATTCCATCTCTGCTTTCACTTCCTACACATATTATGTTTTGAAAAAAAACACTTTAAAATCTTTTTTTGGATGAAAAACAACCTGTTCTACTACAACTTAATATAGCTGTGACCAAGCCACTTCCTGTGACAGCCTGCAAAATAAAGCAAAAACCTGTGAAAACTCTATGTTCAAACAGCACATGCGGGTACAATATGTCTACATCAAGCCCTGGGAATAAAGACTGGGTTTTACGATCCATGTACGCAGCACAGATGGGAGACATTACATGCATCTTAGAGACAAAGGTTTGAGCAGCATAATTTATTAAGAAAGTTGACTATAAGAAGAACACAGAAATAAATATCAACGTCAAAATGGACTCTTACCTAAAGACTTGCAGACTGAGATTGCAGCTTCTTCCAAAAGCTTTAATTCAGAACTGAGAAGAAGAAAAAAGACAAAGTGACTGCAGACAACAGTGAGTATATGGAATCTGGCCACATTAATAAGGCAATCATGAGGTTTTAGAGAAGAAAGCAACTAACATACTTTATTATGGTACATCATTTTTTATCAGTGGTGTATTTAGAGACATACAATAATTGGAAGGGGACTATAAGACCATCGGGTCCAATCCCCTGCTTAATGCAGGAATCCAGATCAAAGCAGATCTGACAGAAGGTTGTCCAATTTTCTCTTGAATGCCTCCAGAGTGTTACCCACCTCCTGAGGTAATTGGTTCTACTGTTGCCCTGCTCTAACAGTTAAGTTTTTCCTGATATTCAGCCCAAATCTATTAAATTTAGCCATCCTTAATCCAGCAGCTCAGAGCAAGTGCAAACAAAAAAGTAAACTATATATAAATAATGAAAAACGTGCTGAAACCATTGAGAATTGCAGTGGAGTGGTTAAACTATTCAATATGCCAGCAAGTTTGGAAAACTCAACAGTGGCCAGAGGATTGGAAAAGATCAGTCTACATCCCAATCCCAAAGAAAGGCAGTGCCAAAGAATGCTCCAACTACCGTACAATTGCACTCATTTCCCACGCTAGCAAGGTTATGCTCAAAATCCTCCAAGGTAGGCTTCAGCAGTATGTGGACCGAGAACTCCCAGAGGTACAAGCTGGATTCCGAAGGGACAGAGGAACTAGAGACCAAATTGCAAACATGCGCTGGATTACAGAGAAAGCCAGAGAGTTCCAGAAAAACATCTACTTCTGCTTCATTGACTATGCAAAAGCCTTTGACTGTGTGGACCACAGCAAACTATGGCAAGTTCTTAAAGAAATGGGAGTGCCTGACCATCTTATCTATCTCCTGAGAAACCTATACGTGGGACAGGAAGCAACAGTTAGAACTGGTCATGGAACAACTGAGTGGTTCAAAATTGGGAAAGGAGTACAGCAAGGCTGTATATTGTCCCCCAGCTTATTTAACTTATATGCAGAATACATCATGTGGAAGGCTGGACTGGAAGAAACCCAAGCCGGAATTAAGATTGCCGGAAGAAATATCAACAACCTCCGATATGCAGATGATACCACTCTGATGGCAGAAAGTGAGGAGGAATTAAAGAACCTTGTAATGAGAGTGAAAGAGGAGAGTGCAAAAAACGGTCTGAAGCTCAACATCAGAAAAACTAAGATCATGGCCACTGGTCCCATCACCTCCTGGCAGATAGAAGGGGAAGACATGGAGGCAGTGACAGTTTTTACTTTCTTGGGCTCCATGATCACCGCAGATGGAGACAGCAGCCATGAAATTAAAAGACGCCTGCTTCTTGGGAGGAAAGCGATGACAAACCTTGACAGCATCTTAAAAAGCAGAATAGTAAACAAAAGTCCGAACAGTCAAAGCTACGTTTTTTCCTGTAGTGACGTATGGAAGTGAGAGCTGGACCATAAAGAAAGCTGACCGCCAAAGAATTGATGCTTTTGAATTGTGGTGTTGGAGGAGGCCCTTGAGAGTCCCCTGGACTGCAAGAAGAACAAACCTATCAATTCTAAAGGAAATCAACCTGAGTGCTCCCTGGAACGACAAATCCTGAAGCTGAGGCTCCAATACTCTGGCCATCTCATGAGAAGAGAAGACTCCTTGGAAAAGACCTTGATGTTAGGAAAGTGTGAAGGCAAGAGGAGAAGGGGACGACAGAGGATGAGATGGCTGGACAGTGTCTGCGAAGCAACCAACATGAACCTGACACAACTCCGGGAGGCAGTAGAAGACAGGAGGGCCTGGCGTGCTCTGGTCCATGGGGTCACGAAGAGTCGGACACGACTAAACAACGACGGTTAAACTACAATACTGTGGTCAAAAACTCTGCGTACAGCCTGTGTTCGATCCCAGCAGATTCAGGTAGCTGGCTCAAGGTTGCCTCAGCCTTCCATTCTTCCAAGGTTGGTAAATTGAGTACCCAGCTTGCTGAAGGGCAGGCAATGTATAGCCTGCATAATTAAATTGTAACAACCCCCTCAAAGAGTGCTTTAAGCAGCATGCTTTGCTTTGAAATGCTATACGGTTAAAACTACACAATATCATTCGGCTCCAGGCTTTATTAAAAAGGAGCCAGACTCAGCGTCAGTCAAATAGCTGAGGTTTTGCCACTTACACTTTTAACGATAGCATCATAGTACATCATCCTATGTACAGATGCTAACATGACCAAATGCATACTTTGTCACTAAGACAAGCCAGTAAAACAATCTACATGTGCCTTCTACTACGCTATAACCTTAAAAAATGTATTTTACAGAGCCTTTAAAAATAGGACCCTCCAGATATTTTGAATTATAACCCTCATAATTTCTGAACCTTCTCCATACTGGCTGTGGATGACAGCAACTGTAGTTCAAAACACCTAGAAATATTCTCTTTGGGGAATGTAAATACAGTGGTATGTAAAAAGCAAGGGAAAAAAGCATCTTGTAGCTGTATAGTAGTGACTGGACAATGGTCTCCATGCCTCCTACTACAGGGAGCACATTCCACTATAACTAGCCTATAGAGATGGGCATGGACAACCAGTTTGGCAGTTAATGCTGGTTTGTCTATTGGTCCAACTGGTGTTCTGAGTTGAGCCTCCTATGGAGGACACCCACTTCAGAGGCAGTGGCCCAGCTTCTCTGCCCCACTTCCTCCCGGTGCTGCCTCTGAATGGGCGCCTGCTCGAGGTGGCAGAGCTCAGAACCACACAACACCTGTTAGAGCAACAGACAAACCGATACGAACCACTGAACTGATTCGTGCCCATCTCAACTAGTCTAGCCTGGAACCTCTACACTTTCTCAAAGGATTCTATGTGAGGGGCCATCCTTACAAGCCACTGACCAGGCCTGCTTGTGGCTCACTGACCTGGAAGTGAGAGACCAAGAATACAACATACTCCCTCTATTGTGCAAATGTTGAGGATAACATGAGTTTAGTGGAATGTTTAGCGGTCAAAATGCTTCTCCTTTATCCTGAAGGGGCACCATCTAACGTCAAGGTGATCCACATTAATGTTTGTCATCATCAACTCCATTGGATTCCAAATGTTCAGACCACATCACACCAACTCTGCATCACCTATTCCGGATGCCTGCTCGATTCCTATACCCAACTGAAAGTGCTGATACTGGCCTTTAGAGCAGTGGTCCCCAACCTTTTCCAAATCAAGGACCGGTTTAGCGGGGGGGTGGTGGTGTCCATGCGCACGTGGGCAGGGGTGTCTATGCATCCATGGGTGGGTGGGGCACCCATGCATGCATGTGGGGGGCGTCTGTGCATGTATGTGGGTTTGGGTGTGTGCATCCATGCATCCATGGGGAGATGGGAGATCTGTCTCCGTGGCCCAGTCCTGCCAAAGCCACGGACCAAGGATTGGGGACCCCGGTTTTAGAGGACTTAGAGCAGGACTGAGCAAGTCTCAGGGCTCTGAGGGCTGATTTTCCACTGGAGGCCACAATGATCTCCTTAAAACTGGTAGATGGGTGAGCAGATTGGTAGGGGTTAAAAGGATTAAACTGCTCATGACTAACACCATAAAATCATAGGATCACAGAACTAAAAGAGACCCCTCAGAATTAGAAAGGACCCTCAAATCTGTCCATGCAGGAAATCCACAAATAAACATCAGACAGCAATCCAATCTCAGTTTAAGAACCTCCAGCAAACGATGCTCCAGCATCCCATTAGGCAGTCTATTCCACTCTCAATTAGCTCTTACTCTCAGAAAGTTCTTTCTAAAGTTTCATCCAATTCTCCTTTCCTGTAATTGCAAGTCAACCATTCGGAACCTACTACCCTCTGGAGTCTCAGAAAACATCTTCCATCTTCCTTCCTCCAAGCTAAATGTAACCAATTCCCTCGCTTCTGATTTTGAAGAAAGGCTTTCTTTTCCCTTTAAAAACTGACAGGGCCATGGGGTGGGGGAAGCCTTGCAATGTATTTGAAAGGAAATCCAACCCTCCAGGCAGCTTCCAGAATTCTCCTTTTTTTTTTCACTAGAAGAAATGGATTTTGCTCCAGGATGTGTCCAAGAGGGGACCAAAGCTGCAGAAAAGTTCTTGGGGTGTGCATATTCTTTGCCTGTCCCAGTCCTATGTGTGATCTGAAGTTGTTATTGGATTAAAACTCAGTGTAAATGTTTAAAAATGACTCATATCCCATTCATTTTTAGACTGATTATGCAGATACAGTAACTTCATCAACAAGTCAGCGTTCTTCTGCTTCTCTTCCCTCTTCCAACTATGACCTCTGTGTAGGCATAATAGAAGTATTGTATTAATATAGATTTTTGAATTTTTCCTATAGTCAACACAGCCATCTCTGCTTTTTTAATTTCAGAGTCCTTCTTAAGGAAAAGCTAGATTACCTTTGGGTTTCATCTTGGTGGATCTGCTTTAGCATATGAATATTTTAAAAAAAAGGGTTTTCAGGTCTACAAAAACATCATTCTGTTTTTTTCTGTAGACCTAAACATCTACAGAACATGGGAATTGCACCACATACTTTGTGCCATTCTGGGAGAATAAAGCACATTTTGACAGGTGGCCAATATGTGTCTGAAATAATCAAATCCCACTTTAAGAACCTGGAAAGACAATGTCAGAGGGTGTCCTCTGCAGAAGTAGGGATGCGGCATGGGTCAGAGGACATGGGGCAGACATAATCTGCGGCCAATGCAAAGCAACATACAGTGGTGCCTTGTAGAAGTAGGGATGCGGCATGGGTCAGAGGATATGGGGCAGACATAATCTGTGGCCAATGCAAAGCAACATACAGTGTTGCCTCGCAAGACAATTTTAATTCGTTCCGCGAAAATCGTCGTCTTGTGAAAAAAATCATCTTGCGAGGTTCCCTATGCATAGGTCTCCAAAAAAAAAACAACCCTTTCCCTATGCATCAGTCTCCAAAAAAAAAACAAACCTGTCTTGTGAAGCATCTGTCTAAAACAAAA